TCATGAAACCGTAAAACTCTTAGAAGAAAACATAGGCAAAAATCTCTCGAATATGAACATGAGCAACTTTTTCCTGAACGCATCTCCTCGGGCAAGGGAAACAAAATCAAAACTGAACAAATGGGACTACATCATGCTAAAAAGCTTATGTACAGCAAAGGACACTATCAGCAGAACAAAAAGGCATCCTACAGTATGGGAAAAATATTTGTAAATGAAATATCCCACAAGGGCTTAAGATCCAAAATACATAAAGACCTCACACGCCCCAACACCCAAAAACCACATAACCCTATTAAAAAATGGGTGGAGGATATTAACAGATACTTCTCCAAAGAAGAAATTCAGATGGCCAACAGGCACATGAAAAGATGCACCACATCACTAATTATCAGGGAAATGCAAAATAAAACCACAATGAGATATCACCTCACACCAGTTAGGATGGCCAACACAGAAAAGACTAGGAACAACAAATGCTGGCGAGGATACAAAGAAAGGGGAAACCTCCTACACTGCTGGTGGGAATGTTCAACCACTGTGGAAAGCAATATGGAAGTTCCTCAAAGAAATGAAAATAGGAATACCATTGGACCCAGGAATTCCACCCCCGGGAATTTACCCTTAGAAGACAACTTCTCAGATTCAAAAAGACATTAGCACCCCTATGTTTACTGCAGCACTATTTACGATAGCTAAGATATGGAAGGAACCTACGTGTTCATCAGTAGATGAATGGATAAAGAAGATGTGGTACATATACAGGATGGAATACTATTCAGCCATTAGAAAGAAGTAAATCCTACCATTTGCAACAACATGGCTGGAGCTAGAGAGTATTATGCTCAAGTGAAATAAGTCAGGAAGAGAATGACAAATACCAAATGATTTGCCTCATTTGTGGAGTATAACAACAAAGCAAAAACTGAAGGAACAAAACAGCAGCAGACTCAGACTCCAAGAAGGGCTTAGTGGTTACTAAAGGGGAGGGGTTGGGGAGAGTGGGTGGGAAGTGAGGGGGACGGGGATTGAAGGGCATTATAATTGGCACACATGGTGTGTGTGTGGGCTCACGGGGAAGACAGTATAGCTCAAAGACAAATAAGGACTCTGTGGCATCTTACTACACTGATGGACACTCTGCAATGGGGTATGGCGGGGTACTTGATAATAAGCGTGAATGTAATAACCACATTGTTTTTCTTGTGAAACCTTCGTAACAGTGTATATCAATAATACCTTAATTTAAAAAAAAGTCTCAGGAAAAAGGGAACCTATACCTGTAATTAATATTCACAATATTTATACTATCTCAGAAAGATGAGAGAATCAGCATGTCCATCTTAAGGGTGAAGACTAAAGACTCAAAAAGAACAAAGTTCCTAAGATATGAGAGCGGTAAGGGTTGGTTTTGCCCAGCCTTTTCACAACTACAGATTGTGAGTATGAAATGTCAGGAACTACAAGTCCCATGACTTCTCTCTCCAGTGGACCCCTATTTGCTCTCCAACAAAGAGTCTCAGGAGAAATGTCTTGGGGCAGATAACCTGTCACCATCTTCACCTGTTCTAGGAATAAAAAGGAAAACGTAGCCTACTATCTCTGAGTCTGTTAACCCCTGATGGAGCAAATCAGACAAAAGGGGTTAAGTAAACTACCACTGTACACAAGTGATTTTTATTATCAAGCAGGACAGAATCTTCTTTCCCTCTAACATACTGATTTCCTCCAACAAGAAAAGAGTGACCTAGATTTAATCAAATACAGAGTATTAAAGTGAAGCTAGATTAGTATAAAATATTATATAAGATCACAAAAAAACAAAAATACGATATTCAAATAAGTACAAAAAATACAAATGAGGAAAATAAACTTTCACAGGATGTTACTGACAAAAGGAAACATTTAAAACTCTTTGAAGTTTAGTAAGATAAAATTTAAGAACTGATACCAGCAAAAACAGTCCTTTGGCAGCCCAGTCTCTTGAATTTCCTGACCCATATTTCTTTCCTGCTAAAACAATCAGTGGGATACCTTCTTTCTGGTACAACTCAGCAGCCTCAAACACATCTAGCTATAGAGTCAAACAAACACAAAAATCATTAACACAAATTTTTATCTAGTTAGCAACTGCTTAAATACTTTGTATATATACTGACTATCTGTCCTGATGGAAAAGGAATTGTTTTGGGAGCTGGTTTTCCAATAAACTTGCAAAAGTTCCTCTTGTCATTACAGCATCATTACCTCTTCGGGCTCCATAAGAGTTGAATTCATGAGGGGTAAGGCTACAAGAAAATTATGTAAGTAATTTAATTTCAGGTGGAAAATAATCACATACTATTTAATTGTAAAAGTTACTCAAAACATTTTTTATTATGGAAAATTTCAAGTATGTACAAAAGTATGGAGAACAGAACAATGAATCAACAAGCAGGTGCCTCTCATCACATTGTAATAATCAACTCATGGACTCTGTTTCTTCCATAATTATCCCCTATTACATTATTTTGAGGAAAACACATTTTAGTTGTATGTATTTCAGTATGTTCCTCTAAAAGATTCAGATTTGTAAAATACTACCTTGATACCAAAAAAATACCCCACAGTTTCTCAATATCAGAAAGCCAGTCAATATTCAAATGTCCCTGATTTTCCCCATGATTTGTTTGTTGTTGGTTCGTTCAAATCAGGGTCCAAATATGCTTCATATATTCATTCAGTCAATCTCTTAATCTTCACATCTGCTTTCCCTTCTTGCCCCTCTTGTACTTTATCTGAAGGAAACAGGTCACTGGTTGTAGTTTCCTGCATTCAGACTGCGCTAACTGCATTCCCACGGTGTCATTCCCAATCCTCTCTGTCACTGTATTTCCTGTAAACAATATGTCAGATCCAGTGGCTTGATAATATTTGGGTTTTTAACATTACTTTGTGCAACAGGCTTCATAGGTCAAACATCCATTGGAGGCACATGATACCCAGTTGTCTCTTTCTGGAATGTTACCAGGGACTATCATCACTGTCCAGATTAAATCTTTCATTAGGGATTACACAACAGTGATACTCTATCACTCCTCCTCCAACTTTTAGCTGGAAAACTTATATAAAGACAAATGTCCTTCATCAATGATTAGGTTATACTCAAGTACATTCCGCGTGGGAAACACTGTTTACAAAGCTGTGACTGTTAAGTAATCAGATGGTCCCCTACCACCTTCCAGAGGTAGGTTGGTGGGTTTTTTCTTTCAGTATTATTATAAACTCACAGACTAAAGTACATGATTTAATCCATTCCAGTTAGTATTTTTTACTGATGCTCAACATGTCCCATCTTTGAGCAGTGGCAGGTTCAAGTTGGTTCCTGAAACCATTTCACAGAAGCCTTGTAGTTTCTGGCAGCTCTTTCTCACTGGGCAAAATACAGACATTTTCCAGACCCAAACTGGGAATCAATCATCTCTCCAAGAAGCACTGGCTGTTTGTACAGGTTTCCCCTCCTACCTGGAAGAGAATGTTCCCACATAACCATTCATAAACCAAAACAGCATCCAGTGCAGGGCATCTCCTGCTTTCTGAAGGGTCACATCCCTTCATTTTTGCCAGAGACCTACACTAGCACTTGCCTTTGTTAACGGAAAGACATACAAAGAGGATTTTCACTTCCATGAAAAAAGCTGTTACCACACCAATGTAGGTCTTTTGTGAAAACAAAGTGGTGTGACTTGAGCTTCTGGAAAGCTGAGATACCTGTACAGTGCTATGGCATTCAGACACCTTAATCTGGGTGTTACGGGCTGTACTGGTCACCAGGACAAGAAACAGCTAAGCGTCTCAACAACAGCCAAGTGTCTATTCGGCCTTTTATGTAAAGGCAACAAATTTTCTAGATTTGTACACTTGAATGTATTTAAAATGGAGGCGGGGGTGGGGGAGATGGTTCATATGTCTATTTAAATAAATTCTGATTGATGAGAAGTACTGGATTAAATATTCTAAGATCTGAAATTACAATAAATATAAAAACCGTATCTTGGAAAGTGGTGGCTCTTTTTTTTTTTTTGAGGGTTGGCAGCAATGTCACACTTACGACTGAGATGGAAATCACAACCAACAAATATCTGGGAAAAAGAAACTTTACCTTATTTCTCAACACTGTAAATAAAAGCCAAGTGGGTAACAAACTGATTCATCTTCGTGAAGTTTTACCAAAGGCAGTTGCTATTAGCAATTTCTACCAAAGTACTTTAATTCACACCAAACTACAGTTAACTGCAAAGTAAGTTCAAACACAGAATTCACGACAGCACACCTGAGAGTTTGCGGGTTTACTACATGACAAACCAAGCCGCACAACATGGTCTGTGTATGAGATTTCACTGCAAACTCTGTCATTCAAGGAGCACAAGCACCAAGGCTGATTGGACAGCATGTCCCACCTTCAGCAAACCTGTCTGTGGTGTTGGGATGGCTCTGTGACAGCAGAGAGCATTACCATGCACAGAGGAATGAAATAATGTGTTTCTAGTTTCAGATTGTTATCTCCTCTATAAACGATCGTTACATTCATTGATTTTTGTAAAATTTTAGGCTCAAAAAGCAGGAATTCACTGTCTTTCCATTTGACACAGATCAAGCCTAGCTTCATGCACATGCATCTTATAGTCCACAAAAGACACATTTAAATTTCTAACTATGGGAGGGTGGTTAGGGTAATTTGACAGGTCAAACCATGATGACTTTTCAACAAAGAAAAATTGAAAACAGAAGTCTTGCTTCCAATCAGTTGTTTATTTTGGCTACCCCTCTATTAGGGGTGCAATTTAAAACAGCCATTTCAGTTTCTAAAACCATAAGCAAAAGCAGGTACAACAGGTACTCCAGTTACTGCGTAAGTCACCATGGCAAGCAGACACCTGTGACAGCAGGTACTTCCTGGAGGAACGAACGTGACCAGAAGCCTCTTAATCAGTAAGAAAGGAGACAAAATAAAAGCATCTGAACACCAGGCACACATACCCTCTACTGGCCAAGTATTTAGCAGCAGCACTACTCCTCGCAATGCTTCCAGCGGGCGATATACGGTTTGTGGTGACACAGTCTCCCAGATGCAGTAGGACGTGGGCATTTTCAATAGACCGCAGTGAAACTGGCTCTTTGGTCTAAAAGGTAAAAAAGTTAAAGCCATTTAACTCTTCATGAGTTTTTTCAGTTATAACAACATTAAAAAGATGAAACAGTGATAAAATAGTACTTAACAAGCTTATCAAAAAATGAAGGGCATCTGATATAAGTAAACTTCAAGTCCCATGGAAACAAGAGTGAATCTGGTGCTTCTAAGGAATCCCACTGCTTATTTCCCATCTGTGAATATGGTTTTGGTTGGTGAATTAAAAGAAAGATAAAATGGGAGTCAGAAAAAGAGGCTTACAGAAATGATCAAGGAAATAAAGTATTTATGTTAAAATGAAAAAAGAGGTCTTACTGATTTAGAAATAAAGCTAAGACAGCACCTTCTATAAAATCATGACATTTTGGATGGAATCAATAAAGATTTGCTCATCAAATTCCAACACACCAGAGTTTTAGGAACACTACCCTGTGAGTTAAGTTTCAATAGAAACTGAATGTCAAAATTTATAGACACCAAAAATCTAAAGAACTTAAAAATATCTACATAAGTTGCTAAAGAGAGATTGTGTTGTAGGTATTGCTGTTGATCTTCAGAATACTGTCACCGACAAAAAACGCTGCTTCTTTCAATGTACGTCCCACGTCACCGTGTGATATTTTCAAACTACACTCATAACCCTTGCCATCCACACCGCCACCCCAGCATCATCCATCCACACGCCATCCAGCCGTCATCACCTTTCCCTCTGGATTCTGCTGTCACTGGTCTTCCTGCTTCTACCCAACCTTCTCCCCCCAAGAAAGTCTCAATACAAAGAGCAACCCTTTTGAGTATGACACTCCTCTGTTTGAAACCTTCCCATGGCTCCCACTCCCCGTGTTACTTCACTCAGAGTACAAGACTACATTTTAACATTGGTCTAAAGTTCCCTATGTACTGGGACCTCCATTTCTGACATCGTTTCCTGCCACTATCCTTACTTCCCATGCTCTAGCCACACTGCTCTCCTTGAGGCCTTTACCCTGATTTCTCCACCTGGCAGCCCTCTTCTTTGTCCAGATTTATGGCTAACTTATTCACATCTTTCAAAGCTTTGCTCAAATGCCATATTTTCAACCATACTATATAAAATTACAATCTACTCCCAAAATTTTGCACAATTGGTTCTCTTTACCCTGATCATATATATTTTTTCATTAACACTTACCACTTTTTAGCATATTATGTAATCTACCTAAATATTCTGCTAATGGTTCACTGCCTTCCTCTCCCCATGAGAATGTTGGGTTTTGATAACTGATGAAATCCACACACCTAGAAGAGTGCCTGGCACACAGCAGATATTCAGTAAATATCTGTTAAGTGAATAAACACTTTTTGTGCCCTCATATTTATATTTTCCATTCTTAAAAAAAAGTGTGACTATATGTATTTACTTGGGGGTGTAAAAGAGAACCCTGGGATGATGCTTAAAAAACTGACAAACACTGGTTGCTTCTGAGGAGGTGAGGCAGGAGGCCAGGCATGGGCGAGACAGACTCACTGCACCATCTTTCTTTTGAAATCTGAACCATCTGAATGGGATAACAGGGCAGTTTCTATGAAGTGTGCCCATATTCAAGATGCCAAATGTAAATGCTTGCTACACATTTCTAACAGGTAAAAAAAACCTCTAAGCTATTCTCTCAGATACTAGAGATTTCCAGATACAAAATGACTATCACTCATTAAAACGTATGTGCTCATGTAATCTAAAATTTTATTCTATCCAGAAAGCAGGATGTGTGAAATAAAGAAAACATCGACACTTCACTGAACTACTGAAGAAATGAGACTCTTACCTCTATTTTCTCTTTTAATGTTTTAAACATGGACAATATAACATGCTCTTCCTCTATCTGATGAACTTCCTCTCGAGTAGGCCAAATATCATGTAGGTAAATGTTCTTGCCAGTAGTGTCAGTACCTGTTTAAAGTATTTTAGTATGAGATTCAAGATGTTCACATCTCCAAAGGAAGTATTATACAAAACAAGTAAATTACCCAACAGCAGACTGCTTTAGGCATATGCAGCTGAAGGAAGCAATTATGCCCATTTTACTTTCTTCATATAAGCACAGAAATGAATGACCATGCATTACGCCAAGAGGTCCTGAAATCATCAAAGAATGGATGATCTAAGAAGCATTTCAAAAATACAACAGCCTCTGGGAAAAAAGTGTGTGCAGGTACATATGTATGCAGATAAAGGAAGAGATACCTAAAGGCTCGGTCTGGAAATCTATATTCACTGTGCCTGCTATGGCATAAGCCACCACCAAGGGTGGAGAGGCAAGATAGTTGGCACGGACACAATCACAAAGACGACCTTCAAAATTTTTGTTTCCAGATAAAACTCCACAGGTAACCAAATCACCCTGAAGAAAAAAAAAAACTTAAGGGTGAAGACTAAAGACTCAAAAAGAACAAAGTTCCTAAAATATGAGAGCAGTGAGGGTTGGTTTTGCCCAGCCTTTTCACAACTACAGATTGTGAGTATGAAATGTCAGGAACTACAAGTCCCATGACTACTCTCTCCAGTGGACCCCTATTTGCTCTCCAACAGAGTGCCAGGAGAAATGTCTTGGGGCAGATGACCTGGCACCATCTTCACCTGATCGAGGAATAAAAAGGAAAACGTAGTCTACTATCTCTGAGTCTGTTAACCCCTGATGGGGCAAATTAGACAAAAGGGGTTAAGTAAACTACCACTGTATACAAGTAATTTTTATTATCAAGCAAGACAGAATCTTCCTTCCCTCTACCATACTGATTTCCTCAAATAAGAAAAGAGTGGCCTAGATTTAATCAAATACAGAGTATTAAAGTGAAGCAAGATTAGTATAAAATACTATATAAGATCACAAAAAAACAAAAATATGAGATTCAAATAAGCACAAAAAATCCAAATGAGGCAAATAAACTTTCACAAGATGTTACTGACAAAGGGAAACATTTAAAACTCTTTGAAGTTCAGTAAGATAAAATTTAAGAATTGATACCAGCAAATACGGTCCTTTGGCGGCCCAGTCTCTTGAATTTCCTGAACCATATTTCTTTCCTGCTAAAACAATCAGTGGGATACCTTCTTTCTGGTACAACTCAGCAGCCTCAAACACATCTAGCTATAGAGTCAAACAAACACAAAAATCATTAACACAAATTTTTATCTAGTTAGCAACTGCTTAAATACTTTGTATATATACTGACTATCTGTCCTGATGGAAAAGGAATTGTTTTGGGAGCTGGTTTTCCAATAAACTTGCAAAAGTTCCTCTTGTCATTACAGCATCATTACCTCTTCGGGCTCCATAAGAGTTGAATTCATGAGGGGTAAGGCTACAAGAAAATTATGTAAGTAATTTAATTTCAGGTGGAAAATAATCACATACTATTTAATTGTAAAAGTTACTCAAAACATTTTTTATTATGGAAAATTTCAAGTATGTACAAAAGTATGGAGAACAGAACAATGAATCAACAAGCAGGTGCCTCTCATCACATTATAATAATCAACTCATGGACTCTGTTTCTTCCATAATTATCCCCTATTACATTATTTTGAGGAAAACACATTTTAGCTGTATGTATTTCAGTATGTTCCTCTAAAAGATTCGGACTTGTAAAATACTATCCTGATACCAAAAAAAGCCCCCACAGTTTCTTAATATCAGAGAGCCAGTCAATATTCAAATGTCCCTGATTTTCCCCATGATTCATTTGTTGTTGGTTTGTTCAAATCAGGGTCCAAATATGCTTCATATATTCATTCAGTCAATCTCTTAATCTTCACATCTGCTTTCCCTTCTTGCCCCTCTTGTACTTTATCTGAAGGAAACAGGTCACTGGTTGTAGTTTCCTGCATTCAGACTGCGCTAACTGCATTCCCACGGTGTCATTCCCAATCCTCTCTGTCACTGTATTTCCTGTAAACAAGATGTCAGATCCAATGGCTTGATAATATTTGGGTTTTTAACGTTAATTTGTGTAACAGGCTTCATAGGTCAAACATCCATCGGAGGCACATGATACCCAGTTGTCTCTTTCTGGAATGTTACCAGGGACTATCATCACTGTCCAGATCAAATCTTTCATTAGGGATTACACAACAGTGATACTCTATCACTCCTTCTCCAACTTTTAGCTGGAAAACTTATATAAAGACAAATGTCCTTCATCAATGATTAGGTTATACTGAAATTCATTCCACATGGTAAGGACTGTTTACAAAGCTGTGACTGTTAAGTAATCAGATGGTTCCCTACCAACTTCCAGAGGTAAGTTGGTCGGTTTTTTTCTTTCAGTATTATTATAAACTCACAGACTAAAATACATGATTTAATCCATTCCAGTTAGTATTTTTTACTGATGCTCAACATGTCCCATCTTTGAGCAGTGGCAGGTTCAAGTTGGTTCCTGAAACCATTTCACAGAAGCCTTGTAGTTTCTGGCAGCTCTTTCTCACTGGGCAAAATACAGACATTTTCCAGACCCAAACTGGGAATCAATCATCTCTCCAAGAAGCACTGGCTGTTTGTACAGGTTTCCCCTCCTACCTGGAAGAGAATGTTCCCACATAACCATTCATAAACCAAAACAGCATCCAGTGCAGGGCATCTCCTGCTTTCTGAAGGGTCACATCCCTTCATTTTTGCCAGAGACCTACACTAGCACTTGCCTTTGCTAATGGAAAGAAATCCGAAGAGGATTTTCACTTCCATGAAAAAAGCTGTTACCACACCAATGTAGGTCTTTTGTGAAAACAAAGTGGTGTGAATTGAGCTTCTGGAAAGCTGAGATACCTGTACAGTACTATGGCATTCAGACACCTTAATCTGGGTGTTAACGGGCTGTACTGGTCACCAGGACAAGAAACAGCTAAGCGTCTCAACAACAGCCAAGTGTCTGTTTGGCCTTTTATGTAAAGGCAATAAATATTCTAAATTTGCACACTTAAATGTCTTTATAATGGAGGTGGGGGTGGGGGGATGGTTCATATGTCTATTTAAATAAATTCTGACTGATGAGAAGTACTGTATTAAATATTCTAAGATCTGAAATTACAATAAATATAAAAACCGTATCTTGGAAAGTGGTGGCTCTTTTTTTTTTTTTGAGGGGTGGCAGCAATGTCACAATTATGACCGAGATGGAAATCACAACCAACAAATATCTGGGAAGAAGAAAATTTACCTTATTTCTCAACACTGTAAATAAAAGCCAAGTGGGTAACAAACTGATTCATCTTCGTGAAGTTATACCAAAGGCAGCTGCTATTAGCAATTTCTACCAAAGTACTTTAATTCACACCAAACTACAGTTAACTGCAAAGTAAGTTCAAACACAGAATTCACGACAGCACACCTGAGAGTTTGCGGGTTTACTACATGACAAACCAAGCCGCACAACATGGTCTGTGTATGAGATTTCACTGCAAACTCTGTCATTCAAGGAGCACAAGCACCAAGGCTGATTGGACAGCATGTCCCACCTTCAGCAAACCTGTCTGTGGTGTTGGGATGGCTCTGTGACAGCAGAGAGCATTACCATGCACAGAGGAATGAAATAATGTGTTTCTAGTTTCAGATTGTTATCTCCTCTATAATTGATCGTTACATTCATTGATTTTTGTAAAATTTTAGGCTCAAAAAGCAGGAATTCACTGTCTTTCCGTTTGACACAGATCAAGCCTAGCTTCATGCACATACATCTTATAGCCCACAAAACACACATTTAAATTTCTAACTATGGGAGGGTGGTTAGGGTAATTTGACAGGTCAAACCACGATGACTTTTCAACAAACAGCAATTGAAAAGAGAAGTCTTGCTCCCAATCAGTTGTTTATTTTGGCTACCCCTCTATTAGGGGTGCAATTTAAAACAGCCATTTCAGTTTCTAAAACCATAAGCAAAAGCAGGTACAACAGGTACTCCAGTTACTGCTTAAGTCAACATGGCAAGCAGACACCTGTGACAGCAGGTACTTCCTGGAGGAACAAACGTGACCAGAAGCCTCTTAATCAGTAGGAAAGGAGATAAAATAAAAGCATCTGAACACCAGGCACACATACCCTCTACTGGCCAAGTATTTAGCAGCAGCACTACTCCTCGCAATGCTTCCAGCGGGCGATATATGGTCTGTGGTGACACAGTCTCCCAGATGCAGTAGGACGTGGGCATTTTCAATAGACCGCAGTGAAACTGGCTCTTTGGTCTAAAAGGTAAAAAAGTTAAAGCCATTTAACTCTTCATGAGTTTTTTTAGTTATAACAACATTAAAAAGATGAAACAGTGATAAAACAGTACTTAAACAAGCTTATCAAAAAGTGAAGGACATCTGATAGAAGTAAACTTCAAGTCCCATGGAAACAAGAGTGAATCTGGTGCTTCTAAGGAATCCCACTGCTTATTTCCCATCTGTGAATATGGTTTTGGTTGGTGAATTAAAAGAAAGATAAAATGGAAGTCAGAAAAAGAGGCTTATAGAAATGATCAAGGGAATAAAGTGTTTATGTTAAAATGAAAAAAGAGGTCCTATTGATTTAGAAATAAAGCTAAGACAGCACCTTCTATAAAATCATGACATTTTGGATGGAATCAATAAAGATTTGCTCATCAAATTCCAACACACCAGAGTTTTAGGAGCACTACCCTGTGAGTTAAGTTTCAATAGAAACTGAGTGTCAAAATTTATAGACTCCAAAAATCTAAAGAACTTAAAAATATCTACATAAGTTGCTAAAGAGAGATTGTGTTGTAGGTATTGCTGTTGATCTTCAGAATACTGTCACCGACAAAAAACGCTGCTTCTTTCAATGTACGTCCCACGTCACCGTGTGATATTTTCAAACTACACTCATAACCCTTGCCATCCACACCGCCACCCCAGCATCATCCATCCACACGCCATCCAGCCGTCATCACCTTTCCCTCTGGATTCTGCTGTCACTGGTCTTCCTGCTTCTACCCAACCTTCTCCCCCCAGGAAAGTCTCAATACAAAGAGCAACCCTTTTGAGTATGACACTCCTCTGTTTGAAACCTTCCCATGGCTCCCACTCCCCGTGTTACTTCACTCAGAGTACAAGACTACATTTTAACATTGGTCTGAAGTTCCCTATGTACTGGGACCTCCATTTCTGGCATCGTTTCCTGCCACCATCCTTATTTCCCATGCTCTAGCCACACTGCCCTCCTTGAGGCCTTTACCCTGATTTCTCCACCTGGCAGCCCTCTTCTTTGTCCAGAAAGATGGCTAACTTATTCACATCTTTCAACGCTTTGCTCAAATGCCATATTTTCAACCACACTATATAAACTTACAATCTACTTCCCAAATTTTGCACAATTGGTTCTCTTTACCCAGACCATATATATTTTTTCAT